GATGCATTCTTCTATTTCAGTCATAACAATAACTTTCTTATGGGAACCAAGGTCAAATTGCTCAAGTGTTTCGTGGGCTACAACTACTGCTAGAAAGCCCGCCAAAGAGAATGTGATTTATTACATGTTTAGTGGGTGGGAAGTTTTAACTTTTACTTTGTAACCTTTTTTTTTGGGGGGGGGAGACCTCCAGTCTTGGTTTCACCTATGTTCATGCTGATATTATGTAGCCATTAAAGATTGTTCTTTGAGGAAAGCAACTGCCTCAGAGTTCTTATTTCTACTGGTCTCATCTATTGGAACCATGACACTTTTACATATAGCTCAGGCATTTTCCACTTGCTAGCTTCTCTAAGTTGCACATCTCAACACAGAGATGTGCAACTTAGCCCATAAAGCTTGCAAAATGTCAGCTTCATGAAATAAATTCCCCTATTTTAGAAACCTAGACCTCCCTCGCATGGGTGAGCAGAACCTGTGGGTCAGGGATTAGGGGCAGTGAGTTCTAGCAGAATATCTACCTGAGATGGAGACAAAGCAATCACAGTTCCAAGCAATGCAAGAGAGGCTTAGCTTCAGGGAAATGCCTATCAGGGACAGACTGAAAGCTGGCCAGGATCCAGCCTGGAATCCTAAGCAGAAAGTGGCAAGAATATTTATTCTGTATTGTGAAGACCTTGCATATTATGTATTTAAAAAACCCTTCAGAGATTGCTCTGCACCAGGAAAAGTTTAGAATAGAATTTTTCAATCTTGGCAACTTTTAAATTGATGGGTTTCAATTCCCAGGATTCTCCAACCAGCATGGTGGCTGGAAAATTCTGGGAATTGAAGTCCATACATTAGAGAAAAACCAATTGGTTCTGTGACTGAATGGCCATTTTCAAGCACACCCTTTGAAGGGACTTGTGATCCTTTAGCTTAGGAGTGTCAAACTGCCAGCCCACGGGCCAGACGCATCATCCGGAAGCCGCGCCCATCCCATTGTCGGCAATGGCAAAACTGTCCTGATACGTTGCGCAATGTCACATGATGTTGCGAGTTTGACATGTCTGCTTTAGCTGATCTTGAGAGCCATTTCCATCTGTAACAAGGGACGGAGTGCTGCCCTTAGGAAGAATACAAGTATGTTGACTGTGCAAATTAAAAGAGCTCCAGAATGTTTATCCATTGTAGCCACTGCTATGAATTCTTTAAAAATGTTAACCAAGTAGTAGAAGAGAGTTGAAACAGCTGGGGAAATACAGGTAGTCCTCAACTTACAACAGTTCATTTAGTGACCAAAGTTACGTCAGTGAAAAAAGTGATTTGATTTGTTTTTCACACTTGCAACTGTTGCAGCATCCCCATGGTCACATGATCAAAATTCAGATCCTTGGCAAGTGACTCATATTTATGATAGTAGCAGGGGTCATGCAATCAGCTTCTGCGACCTTCTGACAAGCAGAGTTAATGGGGAAGCCAGATTCACTTAATAACCATGTTACTAACTTAATAACTGCAGTGATTCATGTCTGTGGCAAGAAAAGTCGTAAAATGGGGCAAAATTCACTTAGCAAATATTTTACGTAGCAACAGTATTTTGGGGCTCAATTGTAATCTTAAGTCAAAATCTGTAAATTCAGCTGGGGGATTCTACCCTTGAGTGCAGCATTCCTATTAGTTCTTCTAACCAGGCAATATTGCAGCAACAGGCATTTATGTGCGAGTATGTACGGAGAGGGGTTATGTTCATCTGGGAGTTTTAAAGGATCTGTGTTGTTTTTGTTGTTGTTAATAATAATAATAAAGTTGGAGGGGACCTTGGAGGTCATCTAGTCCAATCCCCTGCTCAGGCAGGAAACCCTATACCATTTCAGACAAATGGTTGTCCAGTCTCTTCTTAAAAACTTCCAGTGTTGGAGCATTCACCGCTTCTGGAAGCAGGTTTTTTCACTGGTTAATTGTTCTAACTGTCAGGAAGTTTCTCCTTAGTTCTAGGTTGCTTCTCTCCTTGCTTAGTTTCCATCCACTGCTTCTTGTCCTGCCTTCAGATGCTTTGGAGAATAGCTTGACTCCCTCTTTTTTGCTGCAACCCCTGAGATATTGGAATCTCAGAATCCTGCTATTTCAGCATTCTCTATGCGCTGCTTGCAACTAGCCTCTTCTCCCCACCTGTCTGTCTCACACATAAACACTATGAGAAAAAAAAAAACATCAAACCTAGAGCCTTTCAATTCTTTTGTCAAGACATCAAGTGACAGATAACAATCAAGCTGGACACCTTCAATTATCTGGAATTTATTGGAGGGAAAAATCTAATTTGGTTTGATGTCTCAAAGGTCAGTCAATTGTTTCAGGATGAGCACCCTGGAATAATGAAGGGCAACGCTGGAACACATCAGCGGCGTCATGAACTTTTAATTAAGCAGGGGAGAGATGCCGGCTGTCCATTAGAGGCCAAGGTTTAGGTACAAATGATTTATTGGGCTGTAATTCCAGGAAGCTTTAGAAATGGTTTCTGGTGCAAGCATATTAAAATTACACTTTGTTTTATTCTGATCGTACATCAAAGAAACAGATAATGCTTGAATTACAACCTATCGCTTAGTGACTGTTCAAAGTTTTAAAGGACCTCCCTGGGGTTGCTTAAGACCTGGTTGTGACTGCTGCTCACCCCCCCCCCCAGTCATGTGACATTTTGGACACTTGGCAACCATCCCACATTGGCAGCCATTTACAGTGTTCCTTTATCCCATGACCATGTTTTACATTTTTGCCAAAAATTGGCCTCTTCTTCTGGTTTTCAGAAAAACTGGTCCAAAGCAAAAAATTGGCTCACTTATGACTCCCACAAAAGTCATAAAATCGGGTTGAATACATCTGTGACTCACTTTACAACCACTGCAACTTATAACTGTAATGGGCAGACCCATTGTGGTCTTAAGGTGAAAATTACCCATATGTCTGTTTAATTCTGCAAAGATTTGTTGTAGCTGTTGCTGGGACAGTCCAAGGAGGGAAAAAGCTATCTTCCTTGACTAGTTGCTGTTCAGTCAAAGACTGAAAAGAAAAAAAAGCCTTCTCAGTCTATGACATTGATTGCATTTTGTGATAGCCACTTCCACAAACGAATTGCACAGTGGAGGAATACATATTCTTCTTTCTATACAAATTATTTCCCAGAAAACATGGCTGCCTCAATCCCAAAATGGGTGCTGCAATAGACATGGCCAGTCACAAAACTATATATTCATGGTTGACTAGTAATTCTATTCCTTTCCTTGCTCTCTAACTTTCCAGGATCCTTTCCACAAACTTTTTTCTCTCACACCAGTAATGCTTATGGAGACCCATGTGGAATCCAAGGATCTTCTAAAAATACAGATTTATATTTTTAATTAATTAAACACTAAAATATATTTGCTTTTGAAAAAGATAAAAATGGTAGGGCAGGGCAGAAAATCTGGTAGATATCTTCGGGAGCAAGTTAATGCTGATGAGTGCCACAATAGGGATTCTAATGTCACCTTTTCCTTTTCAAAAATGAGAGACTCCTTTGTTGTGCACTTCACTTTCTTTCCACCTTCACATAACAAGTTTCTGACAGATTATATATGAACAGTTCCAGATCTAAAACATGAAAGTGATTGCTCTTCGCCCTACACCTTTTCCCCTGGCTGTTAAGAAAAAATAATAATAATTGGGTTTAACTTCCTGTTCATTCCTGAACATTGGATTTAACAACAACAACAAAAAAAAGGCAAGCTTGTGGAAAAAAAGAAGTTGGTTGGAATATCATAAGAGACTCTGGGGTCCTGGTGATCTTTCTTTGGGTAGATGTAAAGTGGACTTTACTACTGTTTCTCTCCAACCACAAGATGAACTTTGTAATTTTGGGGAAGCTATAGGCCAGCTCATACAAATAATCCCTTCATTTGTTGATTACAATAAACCTGACACTCATTCTCTAAATACTTCCATTCCAGCTCAGTGGGAGCCTTTTTATTTCTTACAGAGACTAGTTACCAATATTAAGAAAAAATCCTGTAGTTGCAGTATCCCAAGGCAAATTGTCCATTTGCACAGCCTCAAAGTCCATCCTATATTAGGCATTTAAAGGCTAAGAGAAGAAAGTGGTTTAGTTTGTTTACACTAGGCAATGGCCTCTTGTTACTTTTTATATAGCCCCTAAGAGTTTTAATCTCAAATTGCTATTTATCCTGGATTTATTAAGTAAGTTAAAGGGCATGAAAAGGCAACTGACAGGCAAAATGCTGCTTTCTTCCTGCAAGAAAACTTCAAACTGGAGTTATTTTACCCAACTTGATGTTGTACAGAGGGTTTGTGATTATTTTTATCTTGAAGACATTCAGTGATTTGCCCACTGCATTCATAGTCAAGAGGAGGTTATAAATCAGGATAAAAGGAGTATCTACTAGCCTGAATAATCCTTAAGATCTTCAAAGGAAGGATCCCCTAAGAAAAAACTACTTCTAGTACTGAAATGTATGTTTCAATCCTTAATCACCATTCATGGCAGAGATGAGTGATCATCAAACCAGTAGTTCCACTAAACAAAACTTGCTGCATGCTAAACCAAGACTATAATCTCTGTATAACCCAAACTTTTGGCAGAATGCAGTATCTTACCACCATCATCATTTCAGATTTTGATTTGGGGTTGGCTTCATTCCTGTGCAAAGAAACATGAATTTTAGTATGATCCTGCTAAGCAAGTTGCATACTTGCCTTGATCATGGATTTCCAGATGTATGTGAGTGACTATTGTAAAATAGAGAAAGCAGTCTTCATCTGTATTTTTGTACACTATGGTTTTAAATTTCATAGCTCTACTAGAAAGGGACTTTCAAGCCCTAGAGATCAAAGTATTCATTTTAATGAGGGTCACATATCAAATCTTCAAAGAATAAAATAGTCATGGTAGAACACGTGTTAAACACAAGTTGTTGGAAAATGGATAAGCTTAAAAGACAGGTAATTTTTGCTCAGTTTTGGCCTCGGCATCCTACCAGCCTCATGGAGAAAGTGGATCCTTCAAAGCCTCAAGCTATATCCAAGTGACATAACTTGTGCAGGAAAGAAGTGGAGTCCCTGGCAATATTAGTTTTTTCTGGAATACTGTTCTTTTTATGAACAAATCACTATGCAAATGTTCATATTAAAACATTTATTTTGAGGGGTGGTGTGACATAATGGAGCATTTTACAGTTTGTGAATTCAACCACCACCACCACCACCACCACCAGAAACCACAAATATGGAAAACAGAGGTCAGGGTTCAGCTCAGCTCCCTCTCTCTGTTATTTGCTTTAACAGACTCCCTCCCTGCCCCCCAAAAGTCCTGAAGGCCAGAAAAAGACACTTGCTGGGAGGATTTGGGTGGAGAAAAGAAAAGAGGAAAAGGGGGAAAGGAATTCCACAAAGAAAAATGGGGAAGACTCCAGCATCTCTGGTCTCTGGATTCTTGAAGCAGGCCTGAGGCACCAGGTGTGAAGTTCCTGCTGGTGGATCAAAATTTGGCCCTATCAATCTTCGGTGAGTTGAAATCGAATGGATTTTTGTCGCGTGCAAACATTAGTGGCCACGTTTTCAGGAGGCTGAGGAGGCAGGCAAGCACTCTTCAGGCTACTGCCAGCTTCTGTGTGGTAGAAACAGAAACAGAGAGAACTATAAGGAGATAAAATGTCTGATGCAGCTCAGCCATCAAACTTGCAAATCTATGAGACTTTGGTCTTCCTAGAGTGGCTGTCATTCAACCAAAACAGATCAGAACGGTATCTTTTGGAGTATATGGAACAAGGAAGGGAGACAGATTGCCTTTTTTTAAAATCAGCATATGCCCTTCTCCTCTTGTGAATGAGACATAAACCAAAGAGATTTAAGACTTCTTTATATACTATTCATTGCTGAATTATACCTGCTACCATAAGAAGTAGGGACAACATAGATGACTTTGAAAATGAATTAAACCAATTGTGGCAGTGGAAGAAAAACTTATCTATAGCAACTGAAAAATGTGTGTATGCTAGATTTGGCTGAACACCAAGTAAGAAGTCTAAACAGGATCAAACCAACTGAAAATTAGTGTGAGGCAACTGAAAGTGAGCAACGCTTGAGAATGGTCCAATGTTACCTTGACAACACAACTGTTTATCCCCATTGCACCACAGACTATCAAGCTAAAGAGAGTGAAAAGAGAAAAAGGACTGACCAGTCCACTTTCTAATTATAGAGAACAATTCATCTAACAATATCAAGCAGGAATTATAGCATGGGGACATGGCGCTACTACCCATGGCACCTGCTAATATGCTGCTCTCCTTATAGCATCTGATAAGTACCTCAATTTTGCCTTGCCTCATTTCCCAAAGGCAGAACATACAACCGAATCTTCCCCACAAAATTGTAATAATTACCCTCACAAAATTCTACCAACCTATAGTCATCCTAATTGCTTGAAATTTGGTCAGTACTATGGAGGCAAATGTCAACTAATTGTATCTGAAAACAGTACAGGCAAAACAGCAATAGTATTTTTCCCCCCATAATTGAATAACAGCCCTGAAATTTCCTCACATCTATTGAAAAACATTTTTGCTTTCCTCATTTGAGCCAACGAGACAGGAATTTCACTGCAGATTAGACCTCAGATTGAAGTGGCAGCTTCTGTTTTGTCACAAAGTGAAACACACTATTTCCTGAAGCACCGAATCATTACTTGAATCCAACTCTGCAGTTAGTTCACACCTTGACTAATAGATTCGGATGCCTTGCTGTGAAACAACAAGGGTAAAGAGAAGGCTGTGATGAATGTGAGGATTAGAAGAATGTGAGGATTAGAAGTAAATGCAGAAAGCAATTCTATAACATTCCAGGTTCACTTTTAAACACAAAACATGTAACACAAGAATAATAGTCAGCTGGGCAAAACACATTCCAATGAGCAATTAATCTGAATTCATGCTTGCTGAACTCAATCATGTTGGGAAACACTGATGTACAGGGCAAAAGAGAGGTTGTGTTAATGTAAAGAAATTTCATTTTTCCTCATGGATACCTGCTCTTTTGAGTATTAATTTAGGGGAATGCATGGATATCTTAAGAGCCAGTTTGGTGTAGTGGTTAAGGCATCAGGCTAGAAACAGGGAGACCATGAGTTCTAGTCCTACCTTAGGCACAAAGCCAGTTGGGTGACTTTGGGCCAGTCATTTTCTCTCAGCCCTAGGAAAGAGGAAATGCCAAAACCTTTGCCAGAGAAACTTCAGGGACTAGTCAGGAAGTCTCCAAGAATTAGACATGATTGAACAGAAGGAAAAAATATGCATCTTGTGTTTGGCAAACAGGAAAAATTAGAGATTCTGCTGCTCTATTTCCAATTAAGTTTCTCTGCTGGAGCTGAAGCAAACAACCTTTTTACATGACTAGTTCCCCAGGATGACTCCTTTGGAGGACCTCAGTACCTATGCTAAATCAGTGGTGGGATTCAAATATGTGAACAACCGGTTCTCTGTGTGGATGCCACTTCCTGAAATCCATTCTGGGCCTGGGCAACAAAAAATTAGCTACTGGTTCTGCCGAAGTGGTACGAACTGGCTGAATCCCACCACTGTGCTAAACCCATTTAGTCCAGGATGCCCTTGAACCATCACAAATTAACAGAGAACATTCAGGATATTATGATTCCTGCTCAAAGAGCAGGTAGAACTTGTGGCTTGGAGGGCTTTTGTACTCAACATGGGGCTACCATCGAAGAGTATCTGGAAGTTTCAGATGGTACAAAATGCAGCATCACAGATAGTTATTATGCCCCTACAACAGCACATTGCACCTCTGCTCTGTGAGCTGCATTGGTTGTCAGTTTGCTTGAGTCCAACTCAAGGGACTGGTTTTGACTTTTAAAACCCTTCATGGTATGGGGACAGGTTATTTGAGGGACCACCTCCACCAAATTACATCTGCCTTTCCCATCAGGTCTGACAGAAGAGGAATACTGCAGATCCCATCCACAAGTTTCATGTGGTGGCACTCAGGAAACAGGTCTTTTCTGCTGTGGCACCTGCCATGTGGAACATCATTTCTGCCATCCCTGAGATGAGATTGGCCCCATCCTTGACCTCTTCTAGAAGTCATGGCTGTGTCAGGAAGCCCAGGGATCTCAAGGAAAAGAGAAATGATGAGATGGCTGCATTGTTTTTAGTAGCAATTCTCTCCACTATCTTGTAATTAATAGTATTGTTGAGATCTTTTAGTTGTTTTTTTTAACATTGGAGTTTATATTGTTTTTATTTTAAGCCACTTACAGATACTTTATTGTGAGATGGGTGGCTATTACATGTGACAGATATATATGTTTTCTTATAGTCAGATCACTTTCTCATTTAGATTTTGAGTTGCTTCTCTTTCTTCTTCTATAAAGGTTGAGAAAGTTTAATGAATTTCAAAGATTTCACACATACTCTGGGGAAATTTTTAGCTTTTATGATTTGAAGTCCAGACTGCTGTGTTAAATAACAGGCACATTTTCCAAAACTGCATCCAAGTACCCTTATGTCTGTATACAGAGTTATGCAATTCCTTGGTATATTTTTGAGCAAAAGCTAATGAAAAAACAGCCAAAAATGATAATACAGTTAAAAATACAGCCTAGTCCAACACATATTTGATGTTCTTATTTAGAGTATCACAAGACTTTTAACAGTGGGAAAGAGTGTGTTCTACCAATACTATTTCTTCTGGATGTTTAGAGGTTCACTGTAGTCAGTTCTCTAAGACAATTAACAGCAGGAATCTAGCCATCATGCTAAGGCGAGTTTGTAGACTATTTTCAAAATCATAGGCCTTAGATTCCGCATTTAATGTAATTGATATAGTGGAGGCTTCAACCTTCTTCTATGGGGCAGAAGGTTTCTGCCTCCACTATAGGCAGGCGGATCAGGGCTTGCATTGCAGGGGCATATCAATCACATTCCCTGTCAGTTCCAAGTCATATTACCGCTCACTCTACTCGCAGCGCCGCAACCTCTGCGGCATGGGCGACACAGGCGTCCATCAAGGACATCTGTAAGGCGGTGACATGGTCCTCGCCTTCACCTTTCATGAGGCATTATAAGCTGGATAGGTTTGCCTCCGCGGACACCGCATTCGGCCGGAGAGTGTTACAGCAAGTAGTGCCACAAAGTGGGACACAGGCTCAGACTGATTCCCTCCCATAGGGACAGGGCGGCTTTGGTATATCCCATTCGTGGATTCTCCATCTATCATGCTGGAGAAAGGGTGTTGTCTTACCTGAACGCCTTTTCTCAGCATGATGATGGAGAATCCACACCCACCCCTTAGTGTCCGACAGGTCCTGTGTCAGGGGTATGGGAGCCAACATGTCAGACTGTCATCAGCAGCTTCGCCTTCATCATGACTGGGAGGTCCCCTGGCCCAGGAGAGGCGTGGCAAGTTTAACAGACTTAGTCTAATTGGGCAGGAAGACAGAGTTAATTCTGATCATCTGAGAAACTAACACTTAAGTCTTCTTGGCTTATGATACAGCAGAGATGGAGTGACCAGACTCAAAAAGTTATAAGGTATCCTTTGAGAGGGAGATGATTAGTCTACACCTGAAGCAACTGGAATTCTTGACTAATTGCTTAAGAAATTATTCCAACACAATGTAAGGTGTTCTTACATGAAAACTGTTTTACCTCTGGATTTGAAGTAGAAAAATGCCATACCGACTCCATAGGATAGCCTTTATCAAGAGAGGATGGGAAGCACGTGCTCTCTTTTCGTGGAATTAGTAGCTTTTTATACTAATCATAGCATCAAATGGAGAATCTTGAATTATTTTCTAGGTTGAGGCTCAGAAGTATATTTCAATGGCTATGCTCTTATGCTTCAATGGGACACATGTGCTCCTTCAGATGTTGAACTATAATTCCCAAGAGCTCAAATCAATAAAACCAATTGGAAGGGATATTGCAGACTGAAGATCAATGCTATCTGGAAAGTCACAGCTTCCCGATTTGTCCACAAATTGTTGATTCAAGAAAGCATTGGCAGATAATTGCACTTTCCATAATTAGACATATCATGGTTCCATTTTATTCCATTTTTAAATTCCATAGAAGGCAGTTAACTTGAGTTTGTTCTGATCATTTTGACTGCCCTATTCTACACTTTTCCATCAATACACAAAGGACATCCCATTCCTTATCCTCTTTCCATTTAATCTAAGTAAGAGACTCATTAAACTAGCAATCAATCTAGGCAAGATGGAGATTCAGCTGGGGGCAGGGATGATCTGTCTACCTACTAGGCCATCTTCTGCTTCTTCTGATGACAATTGGATATCGTCTAAAAGACATAATCTCTAATTCTGCATACTTCTCCAGGTTGCCTTCCATCCATTTTAAGCTAGTCTGCAAACCGTAACTCAGTCTGAATAGCCAGGCATGCTATGTTATAACTATAGATGTACTACAAAACTCCATATTGCATTAATACACATTATGTGGGTCTTCCTATAGGAAAAAATGAAAGTCCAAAATACTGCAAAGATAATTAATGTGAATTAAAAAATAAATACCGCAAATACCATATTATACTGACTGCCTCCTATAATCAGTACAGAGACCATCAGTCAGTCCC